ATCAAATCATCCATGAGACGACACATAGTGGATGGGGCGTTGCATAAGCCGAAAGGCATAACAACGAATTGAAATAAAGCTCGTCCCGGCACCGTAAAAGCCGTCAGTGGTTTTGCTTCTTCCGATAACTGAATCTGCCAATAGGCATCCTTGAGGTCCAATTTACTTATAATGTTGGCCTTAGGAAGACGAGAGAAAATTCCATCTATGCTCTGTAACGGATACGCATCTTTTTTGGTCGCGTCATTTAACTTTCGCGCATCCAAACAAAGGCGGACCTTATTCGGTTTGATAACCATCCGAATTGGTGAGCTCCACGAGCTGTTTGATGGCTCTATCACCCCAAGCTCCAACATGCGATCAATTTCAGCATAAAGAACCTTTTCTACGGCCGGGCTAACGGGATAGTGTCTCTGTTTCACTGGAAAGGTGTTTCCTACGTCTATATGATGTTTTATTAACGATGTTCGGCCTAAACCCTGTTTTGCAAAGTTTGGGAACAATTCTTTTACTGCTTCCAGTTGCTGCAGTTGAGTCTCCGTTAGCGGATAAGAATCTTCGACCAGTTCTGTGATTAGTGGGTTTTCGATTGCTCCAACTATTTTTGGTGCTAATTCAAAAGTCCGCCAAAAATCAATTCCTAAGATAAGTCTCTGTGCAATGGTTGGAATTACATAAAGTTCCATCTCCTTAGCTTTTTCTTTATATGTCATAATTATTTTCAAAATTCCTGTTACCTTATGTGGCTTAGCATCTGCAGTTTTAACGTTGGATACGATGGCTTTGTAACCAGAACAACTACTAAAATCCTGCAATGCTAACTCGGACCCTATACAGCTAATATTTGCTCCTGTGTCAAGCAATCCCCACTCTGTAACATTTAAAAAGGAAACATTTGCATAACTTCTTCTATCTAAGCTATTCTGGAATATTGTAGATACTATATTCTTTTGCCTATTTCTTAAATTCAAGTAATAATTTTTTAATCTTCTGGTGTTCCTCTTTTGGGGCTGGGTCTTTTCAAAAAATATCCGATCTCTTACTAAATAATAGTTTCTTAGCCGTTCTTCATATGGCCGAAACGCGGTTTGGACGTCACTGGAAACTTCATTCAATTTTGTACGCCTTAATATAGTAGGTAAGGAATCATTTCTTTCAATATCTGTTTCTATTTTTACACTAGTCTGCGTTTTCTGTTTTTCTGCTATTTGCTGGACCTGCTCTTCTACGACTGGGACACCCGATGGCTTGTGAATGCCCCCGCTTTTCGGTTTTCCGAACGGTTCTTACAATTTAAACAGTTTGGTTTGTATACTTGCGGCTTGCCGCACCCGTAACAAAATACGCGACGTTCTGCTAAACAATCTTTCCATACATGACCGGTGGCATCGCAATTATAGCAAACAATTTTGGAAGGAGTTCGTTCCACAGCAGCTATATCATTTGCCATGTTTTCGGTTTCGTTTTCTTCGAGCTGATGCTCGTCTACCGCATACACACGACCAGATATATCTTTGGGCCTTCCAGGGATTCGAAAAGTTTTCCCTGCATCCTGCAAAAAGTTCTCTCTCTTTTGAACCAATCGACGCAGCTGACTGATGGAACGTATTTCTTCAAAGAGTAATCTGTCTTTCATATCCGGTAGTAAATTTCCCTGAACTAATTCAATTAATTCTTTTTCATCAAAATAAACCGAGAGTTTGTCTATAAGTTTACAAATGGATTCATAAAATGTGTCAAATGATTCACCAAGTTTTTGTTTGCGCGCTCGTATTTGCTCGCGTAGCTCTGTTGTAGAGCGACTTTCTCTGTACTGGGCTCGAAACGCTCGACAAAACTGTTCCCAATCAAAAGATTCTTCTCGTTTATGAAATCGCCAGAACCAGGCGCTTTCTTTTCCCACTAACAATTGGTGAATGTTTCGACCTAATGCTTCCCAATCATTTTCCAAATGCTCTCGAGTCAAGACTTGCACTCGATATAAAAATTCTTCAACCGACAATCCTTCTGGACTCCCGTCAAATCTTACTCCCCATTTCTGAATAATATCAGCCACTTTATTAGCAGCGAACAGAGACGCAGTTTGCGATCTCGAACGGTTTCCGTTCGGACTAACATAATCCTGTCGCCCTTGCTGTTGATTTTCTTGTGCACTTATAGCGGGTCTAACATAAGAAGATAACATCATTTGCCTAACTGTCTCTCGAACTAGCGCTTCGATATCAGGTTGCGACCAATTGTCGTCATTTAGATTTTCTTCACTACGGTTAGGTGTTCGAGCCTGTTTACCACGTCGTCCACCTCTTCGCGAATATGCACCTCTACCCCTGGTTCCTCTATTACTTTCAGGCGGAATTAGAAATTGCTGCGGCTGAACCGCCTGTATCTCTGCTGATGCCTCTCCTAATTCAAGTTGCCTATCCATCGATCTCGTATTTGGGCGTCTGTTTTGACCTTCGTTTCTATCCGATATCTTTTCCGGGGAAAAATTTCCAACCACTACTTTCACATCATGTAACAAGACCTTTGTCATACAAACTGGACATTCATTCTCCTTATCGGGATGAAATCTAGTATCAAGACAGCTTTTATGAAATATATGCTTGCATGTAGTTATGCCGCACGGCTGAGTGTCAATCATTGTGTCCTCGCAAATTAAGCATACATTCTGCTTAGTTGCCGGTGCCATGTTTTTTTGTGGAGTATGTTCGACTGGCATTTTAGTTTAAGTTTTAATGATATGTTTTATTTATTTTATTTTTAAATTTATTTATTTTCGCTGACCTATTTGGGACTGTGAATATTCTGATCTTTGCCTTTACTGGTTATAACTTTCCTCATTCCGTTTAGAAATTTTTAGTTTTGTTTATTTTTATTACTATTGCTTTTATAAATTTTTCTGGCTATTGAATCTATTTATGATTATAAATGTTTTCGTCGGTTAGACGATTTGCTGGTTTGTATGAACGGACAATGCACACATGCATATGCTAATTGTATTCCAGTCCAGCCGAAGTCTGCAAATAGTCTACCTCTTACTTGACATTTTCCTCATAAAACTGATGACAACTCATATATCTAATACAATTAACTGTCCTATCATATAATACTATCGGTCGCTTTTATTTTGGTCCAGTTTCTTGAACCTACGATATCCAGACAGTTATTAAATGCAGAACCCTTGTTATCTATAAGTAAATATTAATGAATGTCATACGAACGCAAATGAGCTGTTAGATCTAGTGATGTTATACAGATGTTATATAGTTTACACAAAACTTAACCGTTGTCTTCTAATTGGTCGATATTTTCAACTCACGCTATAAAATTCGATATCCTAAATAAAAGAAATCCGTTCCGATTTGTGTTATTTTTTTTTTTTTTTTTTTTTCACTAGAAATTTGGGATTAAATAAACTGTTTCTTAACAAAAAAAACAATGTATCGTTGCCCCACGTTCTGGGCGCCAAAACTTATGTAATGGTTTAATAAACTTCGAATAAGTTGATTACTCTAAGTCGATTTCAACTAAATCAGACAGTAGGAAACTAAGCGGGTCGGGACCCATGTCAATACTAGCTCTTACGGGATTGGGGGGGTTAGTTGCTGACCCTACTGACTAACACTACATTAAGAATATTTTTAGAGTCCCTAACTGAAACTAAATAACCACACGATCATGGCCGAAATCATTCACAAATGTTGTCTGTGCCGGGGATTGAGGCAACACAACAAACAGTCAAATTTAATCCAAATAATTGAGAGGAATAAGGCAAGTAAACCAGAACGATCGGTGAAGTCTTAGATGGAAATTGACTCACACGAAATCGTTACCCTCCCTGCCAATGTCTTTGCCAATTTTAATATTGTTCCGGCAAGACCCCATATTTTATCAATCACAATATTCACATTCCCAGGTCGCGAAATAAGTTCTCTACTCACTCATAATGTTTTCTTTAAACATGGTTACAAAATTTTATTACTTCAATAATTCCAGTAAGCGAAACAAAACGGACTAACAGTAGCTTCCGGATTAAACTTCATTAGGGCTTATTTTATTATTTTTGTTTTTAACTTTAACTTGTCTAGGTTTTATAATCGTTATTTAAAGGAATCGTTCATATTTATTTCGATGTACAATAATTCATTGGTTTAATTTTTAATTTGGTCGGGTTTTTTCATGATTTTTAACTGAACCGTAAACTAGCTATACTTATGTTTATATTTATTTAAGGAAAATTATTCCTACTCGCGCATAACAACACTCACACTAGCTGAAAAGGGTAGAAAATATACAAAATGCAAAGAAAGAACTCGAAATATTAAAGCTCACAACAATTGGAAGTGATAATCAAAACAAAACATGCAAAATTACTGCTTCTCCACGGCCATATATAGACCGGGCATATGCAGACAGAACTAAAATTTTATAATATTACATTTGGTTGGAATGCACTTACCCCTTTCCAATCCTCGTCGAAGGCCTTCACGATGAACTGGGCTAAGAGCGGTTAAGGCCCATGCGTTTGGGGGGATAATAGTTATGTTAGGTAATAAAATATTAGTTCTGCATGGGGTCTGCTTTCATTTGGTTGTTGTAACTAAATTTCTTCTGGGGTTTTGATCTGCACTTTTGTATACACCCAACTAGTGTAGTGTGTTGTGGCGACTAGCAATCACTTAAACAATTAACTGGCGTTTACAAAGCGCGACATTAGATTTTAGCGATCGGCGATTCTACACTTATGTATATAAAAACAATACTTTTAGAGAGCTTATCTATTTCTAAATGAAGAGCACAATTTCTGGGTTTTGTTTTAGAAAAGCTGGTACACTGGTCTAAGCCGGGAAAACTGGTCTATGCCGGAAAGCTGGTCTAGGCCGGGATTATGTAGTTCGTCAGATGTCGGCGGTTCGTACCACTACCCCTCGTTGAAGCTGGGGGTGCTATATTTGTCCACTAGCACAACTGTACCGCGACGGTAGGCGGAGCAGGGGGTGAGGGGTAGGGTAGAGATGTGCCGTTATGTTTTGTCTTAGACACTGGCCGTAAAGTCCAGCCTTTTTTGACGACGATGTTTGCAGGCTTATGTACTCCTATTCTACTGGAGATCGGACAACTGTAACAAAACGGCGTGTTAGGAAAAACCAAGATTTCGATCTGGGCTGAGTTATTATAATTTACCTCGTGACCTTTGGATGAAGTTATGTAACTTTTTGAGCAGCTAATATTGACTTTTGATTTACTCAATACACAACTAGGCGGCGTAGCCAGACCCTATTTAGCCGTGAAAGGCAGCAATCTGTGCGGAATGAAAGTACATTTTAAATCTGGGCGATTGCAACGCCAGCAATTAAATATTTACCGTAACGATTCCACCAAAAAGGAGAACGAAGTTCAATTGGCAAATTAATTGGCTTTGGCAGCGGATGTCTTTGGTTAAGGTGCGATCAAAGTAACTGGCACGTGGATACCATATGCCCAAAGGAACAATATGTTATCTTATCCAATTTTTTTACGTCTGCTCATATGAGGGTTTGAAACGGAAAAGAAACTATAAGGGCCTCGCCTGAACTTGGAAACTTAGTTTTGCGATATTTTGAGATGACACCGATCTGTCAAACTGGACCAGCTGATGGCTATTATCTAAGTATCGGATAGGGCTGGAAGGTGTTTTCGAATATCGTAAGGCGGGTTAGCTATCAGTTTAAATTTTTGGAGACTTATGAATTTGGACGACCATTACATTTAAATGTAAATATGTAAATATAAATCAATTCTTAGCTAGATTTAAAACAATATTGAAATGTGCACTTTCAAATAATTATTGAGTTCGGTAGAAAACCAGAATAATCTTTATTTAACGATCACTTTTTATAATACTCTAAGAACTTTTAAAAACGAATCTTATGTCTTTCACATGTTTTATTTCCTAAAACTTTAAACTGGAAATATAATAACCAGCTCATACATTTAGTAGAGAATTGATATGGTTGATTTTTGTTCTGTGTGGGCTGGCCAATCATGCGGAATGGGCCATGAGAATGGGTCGACTAGAGACGGGAAGTGGCCAAGTCATGAATGTGGAGGGGTGAATCCTTGAGAAAGTTTCGATCCATCAAAGTAACCCCTGCTTTGGCAAGTTTGCTAATCCCCACGACCAAAGAAGCGACACACGTGTCTGCGTTTACAATTCATTACGAACGCCTTGAACCTAAGCCCTTTTCCGACTTCCAGCTGACCCAAAGTCAATTTCAGGCTGACTTCCAGACATTCGCCGGTTGACAACCCCATTGTCTGGATAACTCAGAATGCATAGCGGCAGCTGGCTGAATGCAGCCTGGCAAAACTGAAAGCCACTTAATCTCGGCGGCGGAAGAAAGAGACTCTCTCCGCAGAAAGGACAACCAGTCTTCGTCATTACTTGCGCATAAATTAGGATTATGGCAAGACAGGAAAAGGGGAGTCGCAGTCTCGCTACTGCAGAAATCATATTCGCAATTTTGACCTTATTTGGATTTGCTTCTCGGAAATGCCCGTCTCCACTCCTTATACGGATGGTCACTAAGGGACCAACTAAGAAGCAATTGCCAAGCTCTTTTTTTCCTCCTAATTTCGCATCGTTATATTCAGCAAACCATTTGCAAGCAACACCGATGTTCCCCCTTCATTTTGTGACCACTAATGCGACAGAAAGTCACTAAAAAGCTTGTCAGCTATGCATTTTTCTGACACATTCCATATTCGCATTAGTTGCGCTGACATTTCATGTCAAATTAGTGACATTTAGTGTCATAAAAGTGCGCAAATTTGCTCAGGCAAATGGGGGAGCTTATATCTCAAAAAGAAGTATTATTAGAGGGGTGATTCCATGTCGGGCAGTCTGTCAAAAAAAACGTATGAGCTTATGCAAAATGATGAAAAATGGAATCATTAAAGTCTTCTTATCTTCTTTTCGGGGGATTTCAATTAACTTAAATTTAGCATAGGTATGCTTGACATGTATTCAACAATATGAAATCCTGAATTTACTTATCGCTTCCAATATATTTAAATCCCACTCATATCGCAACTGAATTCTTAAACCATTTTTCTAATCTTTAAATGTATGCATAAACCCCAGACCAGCATGGAATACGAATAAAATATTATTTTATCAACCCAATCGGTGTATTTTTTGTGATACCGTAGAAAAATAAACCCGAAACGAAAACAGAACTCGGAAACTTTTTGCGTTGTTCCAGTGACAGTTGCAAACATTTTCGGTGCCTTCTTTTTTCGGCGATGTTTGTGTTTGGTATTATTATTTTTATTCTGATTGTCACAACAGCGGCAGCAGCAGGGCAACCCAAACTGGTTTTCATTTTGTTTGTTTTGTTTGTTATTGTTGCTGCTGTCGGATGCATTGTTGTTGTTGCGGTAGTCCTCTGTTAAACATGTTTGACACGGACTCTCGTGGGATAAGTCCCCCTATCCCTATGCCGAAACCCTCCTGCAGCATCATGCGAGTAAAAATAAGTTTTGGTAGCTGCGGCCCGCACAATTCTCCCCCCAAAAAAAACGGGGAAAAAATAGCAGCAGCAACAATGCTGCAGAATTCCGAGCTTGGGGGAAAACCCAAACAGAACCAAACCAAACTAAACCGAACCGAACTGAAACTGAAGCGATCTGGCAGTGACAAGCCGCATACCCAGAGCAGCCGGCAAAATGTTGACAGCCTGACAAACCGGCGACCAACTGGGAATGGGGAGAGTATTTGCTCCTCCTTAATAATTTAATTTGTATAAATTTACCCAATATGTCAAGAGCCCATCAATTTGCAGCTGAGCCAGCAGTGCAGTAACCAATTAACCAGCATTCCTTTAAGGCCATTCCTCTGCAGATGGTCATGGGTATTTGGGAATATTATCGGTAAATTAAAACCCCTAACTCCCATTTTCGGTTTGTTCAAAACACTAATTATTTTCCAATACTTTAATTTGCTACCATCATCCTAATATTAATATGTTGTTAAACAGATCTTAGTTTCCCAAAAGATTTATACACAGCTATTTATCTGTTTTGAAATCTATTATGATTACCTATCCCAAAATTACCTGATTAAGTATTAAGATGTCAAATTGATCTTATTTCATTCTTGATTTAATTCCGATTTAATTGTCACTAATTTATGCTTATATTTTCGAGAATAACTAAATTGCTCTGCTTTGCATGTTATTGACAGAGAAAGTGCAATAACCCTGTAGATTTCTTAATGGCTTTAGGCTTGTTGTTTCCCTAGGATTGTTTTGCTTTTTGCCACCCAACGATTAACGCTCTACTCCGGCTGGCTGGCACATTTAAAAATTAATATTTACACTGATTTCCAGGCACTCCGCCTCTATACTGCGATATTGATGGCTCCCATAATTTGCCTGCTCGCATTCTGCACTAAATGTCCCACAAAGTGGTCTGGGCATGGCTTCCAACTCGAGTCCGCAGTCGGGATTGCCGCTCCGAGATGTGACTTTAAGTGTTATGGGGAGCGGCGGCCATTTGGACGACGGCCCAGCGACGGGTTAAGTGCTGGCTAACTGCTGCCAGTTTCGCATTTCTTTCTGCCGGCCGTCGTAAAGCGAGAAAACATGTTAATTGAACCGGGATCGAAGTGGGCACTGCAGATTGCTAATGTAAACAAGCGGCGAAAGCATCGATGGAGCGTGTCAAAACATGGATTATGCAGGTGGTTACTAAACTGTATCGATTCAGGAAGAACTTAAAAAAAAATTTATTTTCACAAACAGAAATCTAAGGGAAAAAGTTAGCTAACGTTCAAAAATCTCTTGTGACTAACAACAATAAATTCCTGCTTTTAGATATTGTAATTTGGCTGGTATACATTTCTTAATGCTATGAACATTTCGGCTTTTGACTCTTTCAAACAGATAATTCGTACCGTTTTTTAATAAGTTTTAAGTTTCATTAACATTTACAAAACTATAAAAACAAATATCTAACTAATTTTTATATTGTGATAACTATATTTATTATATGTAAAATGTGCTAACAAATATTTTAACTAAAATTTCAAAATTTGTTAGCCCCCACTTTGACTTTCTTCTTTATTATTCTTTATTATTTAAAATTCTCCAAGTAATTTTTTTAAGTGAAAGCTATGACAACAACGAGTTTGGTATTTTCCGCACAAATTCCCAGCAAATTGATACATTATCCGCCGCCGGGTGACTCCCTCGCAAAATGCCATGAGTATCCACTAAACACGCCGAACCACTCCGAAAAGTCCAATTGAGTAACCGAAACCTGGCTTCGAAAATCAAGGCGCAACTAATTTGCCGAAATGTCAAGTGGTGGGATACTCCGGTTGCAAAGAGCTGATGACAATGCCACCTACGTAGCACAGTGTACCGAGGCACACTCGACTACAAAGCACCGAACGACAACTGGCAAATTTGTCAAGTGGCTGGAAAAAATTTCACGTATTTCGACAACGAAATTTGTTTGTTGTGCGACGAAAATTGTTCAAGTGCCGTCGTTTCACACATGCCACCAGGCAACTACAACAACAACAGCAGCATCCAAAACACGTACAACAACAACAAGGGAATCAACTATATAAAGCAACAAGTTGTTGCCACGATGTTGAGTTTTTTTGGCAACCGAAATCCTTTTAAGCTTTAATGGCATTTCATTGCAAAGTGATGTCGATAAGGAAATTTGCTAAATAAATATTTTGTGGCATCGATTTCGCTGGAAAGGTTGGCCCAAATAAGCAAAGCTGTTTGTCATCAAGAGGTGAAATCCGAATACCGCTAATGATCAGAGAACCTGACTCACACAGATGCTGGTTATGATTGGATTTGCAAAATGAGTCAGCGAAGAAAGTTGTTGGTTATTCAAGAACCAGTTGAAATAATGATTTTTAATTATAATAAGTCTTTATAATGCATTGCTGTAAGTTGGAAATAAATCTTTGAGGGTAATCTTGAACTTTTAAATATGACAAGGACATTAATTAATAAAAAGGTTTTAATAACTAACTTGAAGTTTTAAGGACTAAAGCATGGACAAAAATTCTAAAGCTATGTGCAACCCTCTTTATTACTCTAAGATTATAACTCTTAATTCTTGGCTTTGGTGGCAACTGAACAGTAAGTTGATTATCCATAATGCGGCTTCATACATTTAGAACCAAGTCGTTTTAATGGCTGCACGTGGTCTCCTTTGTGGGAAAAGTCCCTGGAGTCGCAGGTTAATGTGAAGGCATGCCAGTCAGTCGTTCCCTTTTTGTGGATCAACGAGCGGAATGCAGCCAAGTAAACAATTTTAATTGCATTTAAATACGACATTTATTTGCATGTAAAATTAACGCGAAATGCAAATTACTTCATGCAATGGCAGGGCGCATAAATATCGCCGAGGGAGTTGGGGAAAAGGGCCAAAGTAAACAGAGACCGGGGCCCAGACAGAATTGGAGGCCTTATGTTTCCATTGCGGTTGCGTGGGCAACAGCAACATCAACAGCAACATCAACAGCAACAGCAACAGCAACATCAACAGCAACAGCAACATCAACGAAAAACCATTGACAACCAGCCAGGCCAACAATGTTGTGGTTTTTGGCTTATGTTTTTAGCACCCGCAGGAAATGTTGCAAAAGTTTCCTTGGTCGATTGCTGAATTTTTAAAGACCTTTTGGTTAACGTGACATTGAATTGGCCACGTTGGCTCCGTGGGAATTTCGAAATTGGAGCTGACAAATGGGCGGCCGAAAGCCGCAGGGCCAAATGCAATTTAATAGGCCAT